GACCGACAACAACAATTCTTTACACAGTGAGGTTAGATCAAGTCTTTAAACGGCGTTTAAAGCTATAAACGCCCAAAATCGGCCAGTTCGTTTCTCTAAACGCGTTTAAGCACAAACTAAGTTTAAGGTTCTGGTGAAACCCGTTTCGCGCGTAAAAACTGAGTTTCAGACGTTAAACTGGTTTAAGATCGCTTGATGAAAATGGGCCTAAAAGTTGAAAAGAGCGTTTCAAGAAGAGGCATAATATCAGTAGCGGAAAAATTGTTGGAGAGTCTGCCGGTGAAACATTCTTCTTATGAAAACGTTATAGGCGATCGATAAAAATGAAACATTTTCTATAAATCTCTTAGATGCAGTCAATTTCATTCATAGAGCTTCGCAAAAAGTTACCTACTAACTTCTACTACTCTATGTAAAAATAACGAAATAAAATACACCACGTGTTTTTGTCTTATTATTCGCTTATAGCGAACTCTGGATATAACGAACCAGTTTTAGTTTATTTTTCAAGTTTGTTATATCCGGACTCAACTGTAATATGTTATAAACTTTCCCTTATTCTGTTCGTTTTTTAATAGAAATTGATTTGATTTTTGTTCCAAATTCGACGCTGGAAAGAGTTTTGAAAACATTTTACAAAGCGACCAAGGATTCGAAATTTATTTCATAATTTTTCACGGAAAATACATTAAGTTTGGCAGCATTTTTAAGTGAAACTTTAGAAAATTGAGCATTTAGAAGAATGAGTAACTTGACTAAAACTGGAAAATTCTGAAATTTTAAAGAAATTTAAAAAATATGATATTAATAAATGGCCCTTAACATAAATCTAAAAACAAGTAAAAAAGTCATCAACATTTTCACAGAAACGGAACCGAGTTACCGCGCCGGTGAGTTGGGATGGCGCACCAATCCATTTGCGCCTCACTGTGCGAACTCCTAAAAATTCACCGCAATTTTTAAGTTATTTATTTTTGTTCAACTATATTTTTAATTTTTGCAAAGGTTTAATTGAAATTTTTCCCATCGTTTATTAGGTGCAAATCTGTTTTACCATTCTTTTTCGGGCATACAGCGTTTAGTAGAAATTAGATCGTTTTAGCACAAATATCTAATTCTTTGGCATATTTAAGCCTGTATAGAATTATGGCTAATAGAATAAAGAGGCTGCAGAACCATGAGTTGCTGTGAATATTGAGTAATTTTCTTTGCTGTGGTTTATTTGCAGTCTTGTTCTATTGGCTCTATCTGTGTTCCCATTCACTCGCTCATAAATTCCTCAACTTCAGCTGTTTTGTTGTATTTTTGGCTGTATGTACCTACATAAGTCATCCCTCCTTCCAAGTTTTGAAGATTTAACTCAACAATCCGTCCCGTTCGCTCGAGGGTAAATGGACAAATTCAGCAATTGTTTTTAGCTGTAATGCGATTTATATTTGCAAAAATTGGCTTAGCTTGAATAATGTATGTTTAATTCAAGTGGCCAACAGACTTAGTCATGCTCCAAAAGATCGTTCTTTTTTGCGCCAAATTCAATCAAATTTTCCAACATTCTAAGTTCCAAGTTCGTAACCACATCATCTAGCTTACATAAAATGCTTAGGTACTTACAAACAGAAGAAAATGGCTTTATCTGAAGCTCTAGGCCTTTGGCCGGCTTTTATCGGCAAGTATTCAATAATCATCTTTTACAACCTTTTTCTGCATTAAAAACGACCTCGAGGCTATTCGAATGCGATGAAGCGTAAATCTTTTGATTAAACGAAAAGTTACGACCAAACCCTACTACCGTGCTCAGTTAGCCCGAAGGAATTTGCTCTATTTAACACTCCTGGTCACTTTACGTTCATTCTTAAATGCATTCGCACTCTTTGGGCTTCAACAAGTGATTTCTCGGATTTTCCACAAACCAATCAGTTCACCTTTGCTTGTAATAAACTGATTTTGTCAGATTGTTTGCTATGGATGCAGTTAAAGTGTCACAGTGATCAAAGCAGTCACTAAAAATGTTGATAAACCTGCAATAGTGTTAATCTCATTTAGTCAGCCAGACAGCTCGATACGGTTCGCTTGCCCGATTAAAAAGAATTCTTTCTGGCTTGAGATGCACGCTCCGTTGATTTTTGCTACTGTCTCGAACTGCAACGATTAATTGCAACCATGCGAGTATCTCGATATCTGATCTAACTGCAATCCGATGATAATTGAATGCGGTAGTCATTGGAAAACAATTATTATTCAATAACGTTTAAAATAATTCTTGCAGTTTATCAGCGTTTTTTCATACGAGACTAAAGGTATTTAATATAAACTAATTCGATCTCGAAATCTCGATTTTATCTTTAGTTTATTTCTCTTTGATTTCCTTATTCTTCTGATAGTTTTACTCTTCGGACATCTATATCTCTGTCGAAGTTTGAATTCCAACTTTTGATTCGATGTTTAAAGAACCAACTTTTGGCAAAAACAATTTCCAAATTGGCAGCGTTTTGTCTGATCTTTAGCGACCATTATTAAGTTCTGTATGAGATAATATTGCCTTTTTTTGTCTTCATGTGAAAGATGTATTCAATTTTTTCGTCGATAGTAGGTATTTGGCAAATTTCTCCAGATTTCCATTCTTTGAAATTTTTCACTTTACAAGTGACTACCACACATACGACTAATAAAAGTCATACAACAAGTAACAGTTATAATTAAAAATAGGTGCTCACACCGTATCCAAAGATAATTATAATTCAATAACCACTCAAGCGCAAGCCAATCTAAATCGTTTGATTGTTATACGAGACTTATAAGGAGAATATGTAGATTAACAGTCATTTACTTAGAGATTTTTTTATTTGCCTTTAACAGCAACTAGCAATATTACAGTTAGAATCAGTGCGAAATGGAGAATTGTGATAAACAAATAAGGATAATTAATTGATACTTACATGCCTACTTAAAGCGCTGTGGAAAAATGTGACAAATATAACGGCGAAAAGAAGCGGCGACCTGAAACAAAAGGAAAATATAATTAAATTAATTATTTTTAAAATGGAATTTTAAATAGTTTTTTACTATTTACCGACTGGAAGTGATGGAACAAGAAATGTGGACAAATACGGCTTTTTAGAGTCAAAGAAGTGTTGATTTGAGTTGTTTAGAAAACAGTGCTGGAAACTTTTAATTTAATGAAAACGCAAGTTATCCGTTTAATGGTTTTTGGATTTCAAAATGTAATAAAAACAGCAATATTTTGAAGTCAACGTTATAAATAAACTAAACACAAAATGCTCAGAAAGTAAGTATGCTTCCAAAATGCAGAAAAACGAGTTTTTAAATTGTTTTCTATTCTTTATTACTTTTTTATCCCTCTTAACATCTTGTAGATAGTTACCAAAGCTGCAGCTAAATGCAGAAATCATCAAACATTCGATACCAAACACAAAAATATTCTGGATCTTGGTCCAAAGTTGTCTAATTCAATCCTTGAACAATCGTTAATGTCGGAAAAAGTAAATAAAATTACTATCCACTTTAGAACGAATGTTTTTGTTTAGAATACAACGAACATGAGCCATTGGCGCAGAAGAACAATTGCTTTTCGTGCAGATTTAGGAGCTTACAGATAAGCTTAAGATATGTGAGAGCTAAAAACTCTGAGCCTGCAAAAATACTCAGAACGTAAGCTTACTTACTTACTAAAACTAAAGGAAATAGTTTTGCAGTTGCTAAAGAATGAGTTCCATCGGATTTTCAGTCAGAAATCGCCAGCAAAGAATGGATCGAAATGAAAAAACCACCATAATAAAACATCCTCAAGTTGGCCATCTGTGGCCGCTCCGAGAGCCTCATTAATGCAACCGAGCATGCATATTCGTTGTGGTTCAAATTAAATCAACCGAACTGTGTTTATTCAACAAGCGCCTTCGATAACTCTTCGGCCTCAGTACTTCAACCCTGAAACCGATATCCGAACTGATCCGATGGTGTTCGCCACTAATTGTATCCGGCATCTAGGCCAATTAGTGCCGTCCAAGCACAGTTACCTGGAGGATTTTTGCCATTGCTTGGAACGCGATAACCTAATTGTTGTCGATTTTTGTGAAGGTTCCACCTGGTGCAGAGAAAGGCACCCGCTCAACTCGTCTATCAAACGGGCCTTGTCGCGGCTCTTCAACGCCGATAATCGGGTTAATGAGCAACACGGGGGACAGAAAAGGTGGACATTTTTTGGCAATTTACGCGTGCCACGCACCTTGGGACGCCCGCCCGTTCATCTCTTCGAGTTTTCGATCTCCTGGTAACTTGCAAAAGAAGTCGGTGCGAATGTCGACCCCGCACAAGGTTGGTGGACCCAGCAGAACAAGGCAATTTTTACGGTGTTTTTTTCAGCTGTTCTTACTTCTTTCTTTATTCTTACTGTTTAAGTGCTGGTTTCATGCCAGTTATTGATTGACACTTGATAATGCAAAGATGAACGAATTAATGCGCAAACAAACAAACACACATGCACAGTAAGTAGTCAAAATGCGATGCATATTCAGAAGAAGTACAGGAGACGAAAGTAATAAGTTGAAGGTGCGAATCTTCAAGAACATGTGAATGTTTCTAGTCTAGTGCATTTATTGTTTGGGTTAAGGAAGGTTAAAAAGTGCATATAATAAGAAGTGTTGCATACAATAAAAATTTCAGTCGATTTTCACAGGATCCATGTTGTTAATCAGCGGGGTTTAACGTCTTCGGTTTTTGTCTTGCAATTTTTTCTTGCACTCCCTGTATCGAATATTAACATTAGAATTTTTTTGTTGGAACAAAAATTTGGAAAAATTGACTTCGAAAATGACTTCGGTTTTGAAGGTTTCTAATAGTTCAGAATAAAATTGTGGTCGATTATTTCGAAATAACTAACTACAGCTGGGTTGGTTTAACAAAACCATTTAAAACTTACAGGCAATTATTAATCTTCAAATCAATTAAATTTGGATAAAACGAACATTGGTTCCTGACAAACCCTAACTACTTTAATTTAGCGGTTTCTCTTATTAGCTCACACTTTAAGAATGAGTAGAAATGAAGCATCCGAGGTTTGTAACATTTTTGAAATGCTTTCTATATCCTACAAAAACTTCTCATTTGAATTTTCCTAAACAGCTTGAACACTTATCGTGAATACATCATATTTGCAATGGGAAAAGTTGTTTTGATCATAAATCATCGTGTTTATACAGTGTTACAAAAAAATATCTAACGACTCCAAAAATAAATCTGAAACAGCATTTTTGCCAATTTATCATCAGGATCGGGTATAAGCAGTGGCCAGGACCATGCAAGTCTTTGGTCTTGATGTTGCTGACGAGTATCTGAACATGTCTGAAGAAGTGACAAACCAACATGTCCAAGCTGATCGCGGGTTAACGATGAAAAAAATTGTCATCCCCATCGAGGAAGAGAAGCCTCACTTTCCAACCAATTCCGATTATCATTTCCTCGCCTCATGCCACTCTTGTAGTGCAATCAAACCGCTTCGAATCGAGCTGAAACCGGCAGGTAAATGTGTATCCGTTTTCCGCTGTTCGCTTTGGCCGCCATCCGCAACAATCGAACGCTCTTCGTCGAGCTGCGCTCCTGCTCCATGTAACCTAATGTTAAAAGCGAATCCTAATAGGTGGTAATGACACACTTTTTAAGGGTTACATAATAATGACCCCCCAACCTGAGGCCAGGGACTGACCGCAAAGTGGGCCGACGTGAAAAGGGAACTTGCTTTCTTAATTCGATACAGGTTGAATGAATGAATGGATGGAACGCAATGAGAGAAAGTGAGGAAAGTGTTTATTTGAGTCATTTTTTGGGGGATTTTATTCAATTATCTTTAGCCACCAAACTAACGCTTTTGAGTTTGAGTGGTTTTTTCCAGAAATTGAGTTGCAAAAGATCCTAAACATTCCCTCCGTCCGCAGAAGCTGTTAGAGAATAAATCGAGTATCTTTTGAGATTTCATAAAAAATTCCCGATTTCTGTTTCAAAGGCGCTTTGTTGATGTGATGAATCTATAAGAAAATCCAGATGTTACAAATTGATTGACCTGACTTCTCACGAAAAATGTCTTATAAACTTGGCAAATCTCTGATCTCAAAACACATTTTCTTAAGTAAATAATCAAATTGATTGATTTTTTTCAAAAAATGAATCAGATTTTAAAGCATCATCTGTACTGGACAAAAGTGAGAAAACACAATGATTTTCCTTTTCGTTTCCAAAAGGCCAGGGCTCTTTCCTTCTCATGTTGTGCCTTCTTACGTAAGCTTTTACCTAAATTCACGACAGGCAGGTATTAAAATTCGCTGTTTTTACCGTTTCGGTTCGAGCAGGAGCTCAGAAATGCTACCGTGAATTTACCGGTTACCTGCCGAGAACTTCGGGCTTTTCTAATCGGATTTGCTTGGAAATTCAACAATGGGCAGTAGGTCAGAGGAACAGGAAACAAGAGTTAAATGCACTTTAGAACAGATTTAAAAAGCCCGAGTCTTCATACGGATAGAAATCTAAGTTTTGCAAACTAATAATGAGTCTACTGGACAAAAATTTTTAAACATAGAAAACGCACTGGATTCTGACCAATCAACAAAATTGTCGTTAGTGGGAAAACAAAAACCCGCGGGTGGGCGAAAGCGAGACTCGACATAAAAATAAAGTCAATTTTTGGATGGAGGTCATAAAACCAATTTTTCCCCAAGTAACCCCAATGAACCGCGACATTTAGAATTCTCGCAGTAATAGCTAATTCCGAATTTGGCTACCGTGTTTTCCGATATGTATCAAGCCGGAATATATTAGAAACATTGGGGTTCAACCAGGTGCAAGTTTTTCCAAGACATTTCCTGCTAGATAAAATGGTAGAAGAGAATCCATAAATGGCCGTCCAGTTTTCCACATTTAACCCCTATAGAGTACTTATTTATTTATTTCTTTGAAAAGCAACCTTGAATGATTGCAAGAACGAATACACTAGTGCACGCTAATTTACGCCAAAGTAATTAGAAATGATTAAAACGAGTTTCAATTCCGTTTAGGATTTCAACAGTTAGTTAAGCGACAACATTTTGGACAGTTTTTAGTTTAGATTTCACTCTAAACGTTGATCTTTAGCACGATTTTTATCATCCTCCTAGTACGATGGTGCAACAAACGCAATAGAAAGTCCCAGGTGAGCTCAGGTGTGGACAAATTCGATAAAGTTCGGTCGACATCTCTTCGCCTTGCTGATTTCCTGCGCCGAAGATCGGCAAACACCGCAGGTACCTGCCATGCCCCGATCAAATCAAGCCGAATGAAATTTATCTTTTAAATAATTAATTAATTGTAATCGATCCCCTGTCCACTAATCGATGGCAGTAAAAATCGCTAATAAACACGCCGATTTACAAACACGCATCTCGCCTGTTGGCTGGCTAAGCCGATTTAAAATAATGAGCGATGAATCTATTTTATCTGTTAATTAATTAATTAATGAGGTAATTTGTCATCTACCGGCAGATTTCGTTTGTTGTAGTTAGTATTCGGTTTCAACACAGATTTCTGCAAGGAACGTGCCGATGATCAATCGGGAGGACGTGATGTTTATGCTGTAAAAATATTGAGTATTCTATATTTTTTACTCTTGATTTAATTATAATTTGTAGATGTTTGTTTATTCTTTTGAATACATTTTTTCATCTAATTGCGGGATTTTTATTTTCCAAATTGTAGTATAAAATTTTTCAAGGTGGTTTTAATCAAGTATTTCTCTATTCGGATTTGCACCAACATTATTAGAATTACTGAGCTTCACGAAAAATACATTTTTTAAAGATCAGTTGGATCGTTAACTCATTTCTAATCGTGAGTTTATTGTAGGCCTTTAAATTAGCTTTAATGGATTTTCTCGCTTGGAGACATATGGATGCACTAAAATTGCAATTTTCAAAAGTGCTTGCCATAAAACTGAGTGAAGTTATCGCACTATAAGG